AATTTTATTTTTTAATGGGATCCTGCAAGAGTGGAGAGGCTATAAAGAGCGTATCAATATAGAAATAATGTAATAATTAATATGCTTTTCTTTTTTTTTCTTTTTCTTTTTTTTTCTTTTCTTTTCTTTTCTTTTCTTTTTTTTTCTTCTCTTTTCTTTTTTTCTTTTCTTTTCTTTTCTTTTCTTTTCTTTTCTTTTTTTCTATTCTTTTCTATTCTTTTCTTTTCTACCCTTCTTTGTTTCATTCATTTTTAAAGGATATATATAAAAATTCATCTATGTTTTTTTATAGGGTCCACTAGGTGTCCTTAAAAGGTTCAGATTTCAGTCAAATTTTTAGAAACAGCTGACTCAATATTTTTTTCCCAGTCGAGATTTCGCTAATAAATGTCCAAACCTTTGGACCTTTTATTTTTTAAAAAAAAAAAAAATTCTACATTCTTTCATGTATAAAAAAAAAATGGTGACCCTAAAATTGGTATAAAAAATTATTATTTTTTTTAAATTTTAAATGACCGTAAATTCATATTTTAAAAAAAAAAATGAATTTAAATCACCTAACTTTGACCATCTCTATTGTGGCTTAACCCTGAATTCATAGTGACGCGATTGCGATCGCGATTTAACAGCTGATTGATTTTTAAAATCTGTTTATGAGATCAATTTTTATTTATTAAAATCATTATTTCTTAGATTATTATTAAAACTTGAATTAAAGATAAAATTAATATTAATAAATAAAAATTGATCTCATAAACAGATTTTAAAAATCAATCAGTTGTTAAATCGCGATCGCAATCGCGCCACTATGAATTCAAGGTAAGTCAAGCTTTTAGCCTGAAATTAAGCCCTCTAAGTTGAGAGTCTCAACTGGACAAAACATGGATACGCTGTTTTGTAGTCGACCAAAGTTAGGTAGTTTAAACAACAACTAACTCGGCCACTAAAAGACAGTTTGTAAAATCGCATTATTAACAGCTACTAAAAAAAAGGATCACGAACAAAATTATCGAAAAAAAATAAATATAAATTATCATAAATCATACAATCAAATGATAGTTCGTTTTTCATTTTATCTAGAGTGTTTGAGCCGTGTTTAAAAACGGTCAATTCAATATTTCATCCCAGAAAAATATATATCATAACAAGGCTGAAGATTTTGCTCAAAGAAGGAACGAGGGTTCAGACATATATTATCGAAATATCTAGGCTTGGGCAATATTTTTTTCCTGGCTAAAATATTGAGTTAGCCGTATTTAAATATAAGCTCAAAACGAGCCGTTTAACAAACTATCAATTTTGTGCACCCATTTTCTATTTAATTCCATCCTTTTTTTATGTTTAATTTTAAAAAAATTATATATATATATTTTATAAATAAAAAGTAATTTTTATAAACTTTGTTTATATAAATTATCTTTATCAGGGGGTTAAAAAAAAAATTTGGGCGCTATAAATATTCAGCAAAAAAAAATAGATATTAGCGTTGTTTAAAAAGAACCGAAGCGGACCGATTATGATTTATAACACAAGCTTTTTAAAACAACACTAAAAAAAAAAATTAACCTTTTTTTTATAGCATTATTATAATTCTTATTTTAACTAACTTTTCTTATTCGTTATAAAAAAGAAATAATCCTATATAATTAGAAATTGTGTACAAAAAATGTTATGAAAACCTAGCCGGACCCGGCCAAAATTTTTTTTATATCTAATGGCCTGGCCCGGCTCAAAGATTTTTTATGCTCGACTTACCCGACCCGGCCCGTTATAATTATTGTGAGGCTCGGCTCGGCTCGGCCCGTATTAATTCATTTAAAAAATTTCCCCAAGCCCATGGGTCTAACTATAATCTCGAGATGGAGGGCGTGGGATGAGAAACTTTTTTACAAATTTTTCAGGGTGCTCCTTCCTCTCTCCTAGTGGCGCTACTGGAATTTTCCGATTTTTAATATATGTGTATACTAAGCAACTTTCAGATAAATACTGATAAATTTTAGATTACATTTTACCTTATTCAATATTTTATAAATACTAACTGCATAAATTATCTATTTTTATTTTTGATATTAAAAAAAAACACTGTTCATTTGATTCATATATATATATATAAAAAGATATGTTTTTTTTTGGGGGGGGGGGGGGGAAGAAATAATTGGACTATGAAATCCTGGCCAGAGAACTTCATGGGCCTTAATTTTTTGACCAAGCCCGGCCTAGGCCAGCAGTTAAAAAAATTTTTGGGCCACGCCCGGCCCCCATATCTAATGTTAAAAAAAATTCCCAAGCCCATGATAAATTTCAAAAGAATTTCCCAAACCCGGCCCAAGCTCAATATCCAAAAATTTAATATTTTTTTATTTAATGAAATTCAACCATATATATATTTAGGCAATCATTTTTGTTTACAATACTAAAATTTATTATTATTATAGAAGAAAAATATCGCAATATTTCTTTAAATTAGCAACTGTTTTAAATAATCTAAATTAAAATTTAATAATCTTAGTCCCAAACCCAGCCCAAGCCAAAACCAATTTTAAAAATCCAGGCCCGCTAGAAAATATAATATTAAACCCCTACCCGGCACATTAGGCTCTCTGATCCTGGCATGGGAAATGATTAAGGGTTAGAACATATTTTACCTAAACTTGATAAAAGACATGAGTCTATTGCTACACGTTAATCAGACATGTCCCGAGAAAGAAGCACTATTTTATAAATTATTTAACAAAATCCGGCCCGGCCCGGTTTTAAAATTTTTAGGCCCGGCCCGGATATTTTTAAAAAAAATTTTTTACGGCCCGGCCCGGCCCTGATATTTTTTAAAAAATTTTTTTACGGCCCGGCCCGGATATAAGTACATTTCATATTTTATTCAGATATTTAATTACAAATTGATACTATAAAAAATTTGTGCAAATAATATTTTTGAATATAAAAGATTCTATTTGTGATTTTTAATTTTTATTTAAAAAATACATGTAAAAAGCTAATATTTTGAGAATATTATATTAAATTTATAAAAATTATAAAACTGTTATTTATAAAAATGGATATTTTGAGCATATACTATATTTTATATTGCATTTATAAAAATAAAACTAATATTCATAAAAATGGTAATAATATTTTGAGCATATACTATATTTTATATTACATTTAAAAATAATAAAACTAATATTTAATTTATAAAAATGGAAAATATTAATATATTGTATTTAATTTACTATTTAATTTATAAAATAAAAATAAATCGCTTTTTAAAAAAATGCATGTATAATAAATAGTATTTTGAAAATATAATCATATTGCACAATATTAATATAATTTATTTTATAATATAAATTTTTAACAAAAGAAGATAATTGTATTATATAATATATTGTAAAAAAAATAATGAAAAATGTTGGATTAAAAACTTTCATGACTCAAGGTAAATATAATAAATGCAATAAATATTTGACAGTTTGCAAAGTAAAAAACCAGCATGATTGACGAAACCCTATACTCAAGAAAGATATTAAAAATTCACAAATTATCATGAAGAAAGAGAAGCATATCTACCTTTTCAGGTTGAAGATTACTTCTTCTTTCTTCAAGAATTCTTCCAGTAGTGGAAATTCCGCTCACAGCTTGCACTTGAAGCAGGAATAGCCAATACCCGTTTTGACAATTTTGCTAAAATTGGGAATTCGCTTTGATGAGAAGCCCACCACTCTAACAAATTATCCACCTTAAATGTTTCATCTATTTTTTTATTTATGTAATTATAATATTCATCATCGGGTATTGACATATTACCAGAATTACCATCGCCCCATTTGTGGTAAAACGATTCAGTTTGTTTAACAACAGTCGTAATTTGACTGGTCGATGGTATTTCATTTACTTCCTGAGCCTCTTGTGATTTAATATAATCTTTTATATAGTTTTCCGTCATCTTGCGATCTGTCCCTGACAACATACGTAATTGTTTGAATTTGGGACAGAGAAAAAGAGAAATAAAATGATACTTGTGTAAAACAAATTTTTCAATTAAAAAATGCTTTATATTAAGTAATATCAATTTTATTTCTCTTTTTTCGCTTTGAAAGGTATTACAAACTTCAAGAAGTTCATAATACCATATTACCACTTTAAAAAGAGTATGCAAGAGTCCGACTGTAACTCAACAATAGCTCTGTTAAAATTCTCAAGAATGTTGACTAGATCCTGAAGGATCGGAAAGTCTATAATATAATACTTTTCCGATCCCCCATGTTCTAGAAGAACTTTTTTAATTTCTTCATTTTGAGAATAAACAGAATTGATCATATTGTATTTAGAGTTCCAGCGGACTTCTATATCTTATAAAGGGCTTTTAAATGCTGGCATTTATTACTTTGTTTTAAATGCCCCACTAATATTTTAGTATTATCTATTGTTGATTTTATTAATGGGGCATTACTTTCCAAATATTTGGAGTTAAATGAATTTCTTAAAATTGTATTTAATAAATGACAGCCGGGCTGGGCTTAGGGCCGGGCTTGCAGGTCTTTGATAATTATACATACTGTTCTAAGTCTAACTTCTAAGTTTTCTAACACAATTTGAAAATGACTAGTGGAGCACTGCAATTTTAGATATTAAAATATATTAAGTAATTTAAAATGGAGTTTTCCGGTATCTTTCAGGAAATTAATAATTAGATCGATCTGTGGGTGTTAGGTAGTGTTAACCATCACCCAATATTATATTAATCATAACTATAATATAATATAATCTTATAACCAATAACTCATAATGTAAAATTTTTTATAAAAAATATTAAGGCCCGGCCCGACCCGGGTTTAAAAATCTTAGGCCCGGCCCGGGTATATTTAAAAAATTTAAAAATACGGCCGGGCCGGGCTTAAGGGCCGGGCTTGCAGGTCTTTGATATATATAAATTTGGTTCGCCATATGATAATTTTAAGTTTATAATTTATTGATATATACATTTTATTTTATGAAATTAGAGATCTACAAGGAAACAATGTAACTTTGATAAAGAGGTACAGCTTCAAGGGACTTCGTAATCTCAGGATTTTGTGAGCCATCAATAACAAATTTAAATTTACAAAAATCTGTTATATATAGCACTCGGAGGTTAGGGTTAGGTGCGTAGCTGGGAAGAGTGAACAAGAAAAAAATTTCCCCACTTAGGAAATTTGCATTGTCCTCGTAAATATCTTTAAGCTAATAAACTCCCTTCATCGCTCTTCCCCCCAAAAAATGTATATAACAATATATCGATAAAACAAGAATTTGAAAGAAAAATTAGGAAAAGTTTAAATAAAATCTTTATAAAATAACGACTTCTAAATATTTAGAAAAAAAAGAAGCAATTTTTATATATATTAAAATAAAGTGAAAAACCCAAAAATATTTATATATAAATCTAATATAGCCAAAGGGTTTAAAGTAAGTGGAACCTAAAAAAAAACCTCCAATAAAAATTTTAACAATCCTGGCTAGGTCCAGTATGCTATGAAGCACTTGCTATTCCAAAAATTATTATGTATTTTTTTTTAAATAGTGCTTAAATTGTTAAAATTAGGTATATGTAATTCATGCACCCCCCCCCCCCTTCTAGCTTAAAGCCTGGATTAAGTAATCCACATTTTTAAAAAAACGAATTTGTCAAAAAAAATCAAATTTTATATATATTTTTTTCAAATATATTTATTTAACATGCCTTTTAAAATAAATTCCTTCCTTTTATAATTCAGAATTCGTGATTGGAATTAATTAATTCCCATCAATTTGATGATAATTTTATATTTATGGCTCACATAAAATAAAATATAACATAATATTATATTAATAGAAAATAGATGAATGGAGAATATTAAAAACAAAATAAAAAACATTGTTTTTTTAAATTATTTTGGTTAATCTTTAATTATTTTTAATTTATAAAAAAAATGGGCGTTTATTATAATTTGTAAAAAAAAAGTAAAAATTTTTAGTTTAAAAATTAAAATTTCTCAATAATAAAGGGTCTAATAAAAAACACGAAGCATTTTTTTTAAGTAAGAATAAAAAAATAAAACTTGTTTTTTTTTTCAGTTTAAAAAAACAATAAATTTAGACGCTTTTCTAATTTTTTAAAAATGAAAATTTCAAATTATAAAAAAAAATTTATAAAAAGAATGAGACCTGCAAAAGATACCATTTGAACAGGCCCGGCCCGGATATTAAATTCGGCCCGGCCCGGATATTAAATTCGGCCCGGCCCGGATATTAAATTCGGCCCGGCCCGGATATTAAATTCGGCCCGACCCGGATTTTAAATTCGGCCCAACCCGGATTTTAAATTCGGCCCGACCCGGATTTTTTCTAAAAAAAATATTAGATTTATTTTTAATCGATATGAATCTTTTTTTCTTAAAAAAAACAAATTTAAGAAACCTGATGCAAAACCGCATTGCCTTCATAGAAGAGTCAAGTTTTGAAGACACCATCAATATCCAAAGAATGTAAAAAATATATATATTATTTTCTTATAGAAAGAAGAAAAAAAAAGAGTGATAGACAAACTGTCTGTCAGTCTGTGTCATAATATCGTGATCACTTTTGGGATCTACCCCCTTCCTTTCCCCCGCGAAAAATTGAATCACTGCCTAATCTTAGCAGGATTATGTATTGTTTCTAATTTAAGCAAATTTTTTAAAACATGCACCTATAATCATTTATTAGAGATATTTTTTTTTAGAAATTGCTAAAAAAGAATTAAAATATATCATTTTAAGAAATATTTTGCCTTAATTAAAAATCGATATCAAATGTCTTATAGATTTATATCCTATAGATAATTTTTTTAGACAAAATTAAATTATGAAAATTTAATGATTTAACACAAAGTATATAGTTAGTTATAATTTATATAAATTATTGAGAAAGAAGAAAATGGATATAATTTGATTTAATTTAATATATTATATATCTTATTTTCCTCAATTTTTATCATCATTCTTGTGGAGACGAGACATTAAATTGATATGTAAAAAAAAATGGCGGAAATTTCTCAAGATTAGAAGAGCAAGCTAACAATTTTTTTAATTTTAGAAATATACTGAATACAGGGGGGGCCCAAAATTAATCTTTGTTTAACAATATTTCTTTTAACATAATTTTAGTTTTTATCCTAGTGAGTGTTGTTAAACAGGCTCGATTTCGCCATTTTTTTAGATTAAGATTTTAGGCCCATTTAATGATATGTCAGCTTCGAGATTCATTAAGTAGATGTTTAAACCTTTTCTGACATCTATAAGTATGGCATACGCAATGATCTTTGGGCTAAAATACATTTTTAGATCACTCATTTATCCAATAATATAATTTTACTATTAAAAATTAAAAAAAATTTTGGAATTAGCTCCTTTTATAAATATCTCAAATTTTTCAATTCATCATAATTATTGAGATATTTTTTGTTGTAAACTTGCCATTATTACTATCTCAAAAAATGAGTGGAGAAAAAAAATTGAATAGTATTTTAATAATAAAAACTTTGTGCTTTTCTTTTCCAGAGTTTGCAAATTATAAACCGAAAACATTTCGATAAATTTTTTTAAAATGCATTTTTTTTAAAAAAAGCCGGCTAAACAACAATCGCTTGACGTATGTCAATCCAAAATTATTCCGTAACATGCCAGATCTGCAGAGATTGTAAGTTTTATATACCGGTATAATATCTCATAATCTAGTCAACAATATATGTAAAGTTCTGTGGTATACTATATAGCAGAACTCTCTAGAACCCCCTTTGCCAATGACGCAGCTCCCCTCCCCCGGACCGGACTGGTATGCTGAGTAGGAGGGTACATCCCCGAAATTTCAATGATGAAGTTAATTTGTACCCCCCCTCCCTTTCATTCCGCATCCTGCTCTGTAGTAATAAAGGAAGAGAATGAAAAATAAATTCCCCATAAAGGATGAACATGGTTTTAACGCGATCAATCGCTTAATGGATTACATATTATATCTAGTAGAAATTTGCTGAAGTAGGCCATTGGTTCGGGTCGGGTCTATCTTTCTTAAAAAAGAATTTAGTTTGGGCTGGGTTAGGCCTAATATTTAAATATGGAAGTTTGGCTTAAATTTTGAAATAATATTGATAAATTTTAAGATTATTTGGCAAAGGCTCAGATATTTTTTTATTGGTTTGTAGCGGGGATCAATCTTAATGAATATCGGTTTGGTTCAGGGTTAGATAAAAATAACGGCTCTTGGTTTAGGTTCGGTTCAAGAATAATATAATTATTTCTTTGAACCTATAAAAACAGGGACCTTTTTCTCATAAAAAGTATATTAGTCTAGAAAATAATATCAAGCCATATTACAATTAAAACATTTATGTGTGAAGGAAGAAATAAATTTTTAGGGTTAAGAACACTTCTGTAATGCTAACTTGGGGTTAGCTGGCCCCGTCAAATACCTATGTAAAAAAAATATATAAAATTAAAATACTGTTATTTTTTTTTCCTCTAAAGTCAGAACTGATTATTAATCATCTTTAAAAGGGTCTAAATATCGAGAGGGTTAAACGCCAATGCATTTAAAAGTTCGGTTCAGGTTCGGATGGAAATTTTTTGACCGGTAAATAATAGCGGTTATAACGGTTCTGTAAAAATAGAGATTAATATCAGTTTAGCTGTTCGGTGTGGATCCATAGTTTGTAGAATCATCAAAATACTGGATTATATCCGTTGGGTTCAGGTTCGGATGGAAATTTTTTGACCGGTAAATAATAGCGGTTATAACGGTTCTGTAAAAATAGAGATTAATATCAGTTTAGCTGTTCGGTGTGGATCCATAGTTTGTAGAATCATCAAAATACTGGATTATATCCGTTGAAAAAATGTTAATATTTAAATAAATTCGGGTCGGACATCGGGTTGGAAAATAAATTTTTACTTCGAGTCCTGCTTTTTTGGGAAACAAATAAAAAAAAAATATTTCGTTCAGGATCAGGCCAGGCCATCGGGTTTCGAAAAATTAGCCGGTCAGATCACCGAATATCTAGTTCAAGCAACGACAATAATAATAATACCTAATGCATTCGAGATCGTGGTTGAATGCAAACCAGCTGGGCCCGCCATTTTGGTAACCCGTAGTACAGTAATTATTTTCATGTTAAAAAACTACTATTAAATTCGATAACTTGCTTCCTTATTATCTCGATGATCAGGCAATTCTTTTGATTAAGTTTGCGCCAGACATAGGAATAAATTGGCCTCTCGTTTAAATTTTTTTTAATAATGATACGAAAAATGACGTCCCCAGCTGTTTTCCATTGATCTACACTTTTAACGAATGCATCGTCAGTCTAGGTATTATTATATGTCAATGAGTTCAGATGTTTAAGACGAGATTCTTATATATATAGGCCATTAAAATTGATGGGATTTTCTTTTGGATAGATTAGCGATAGTGAAAGCGCCTATAGACAAATTCCTTTGGCATGAAAGATAGAACTCTTTTTTAAACCTATTTTCTCGTTGGCTTTGTCATTCTTATCTTCAAATTGATCATATTTCAAGTCTAAAAGGGGAAATGGGGATAATATCGAAAAAAAAATAGATTACGTTACCGCCAATGTGCATAATCAAGCTGTACATTTATTTTTTCCTGATTAGTAGTTCAGATACATCGGTTGTAGTTTTGATCTAACTGTAGGATTAGGTATTTTACACAAACTGGTATAACATTTTGGGACTAAAATGAGATGGTCTAAAATACGGCGCTCAACAACGTTTCTTTTTAAAAAGAAAATATCCGAGAAATCTAATTTTGTCGGAAGTGTACTCCAACACATGTGTAAAATACATTTACCCTCTAAATTTCAGACAATTCTTAGACTACCTTAATTTGAGCCTCTAAAATGTTGTCTTACTCCATGAACAATTTTTTTTTATTATTATCACAAATTATAAAGAAAAATTTGTCATATATAAAAAAAAAGTATTCTCTTTTGACTAGACAAGACAAGGTAACTCTATAAACTTTTATAATTGACTGATATATAAAAAAAAAATTAATGATAAAAATTATATATTTTTTCAAAGATAAACAAACATTTAATTTTACACTCACTTTAATTTTAAAATATAATTTTGTAACATTTTTTTTATTATAAAAAAGAAAGAAATAATTATATAAATATTTTTATCAAAATTTAAAAAATAAAAATTATAAAAATTACAAAAAATTAATGTAAATACAGGTGTAATTGAATTTATATTGTTATATATATATATTATATAAAAATGATGTATCAAAACTTAATTATAAAAGTATATATAAATATTTACTTTAACAAAATTATCAAAGTGGCTCTTTGATAATTTGTTAAAAGGGTGTGTTATAATATAATATACCGTAATATATAAAAATTATTAAAAAAAACTATTTAGTTTTAGCCATATATTAATTGCATTTTAAAGGATAATAAAAAAAAAAATTCATCTCAGATTTTTATAGCGGTCACCTTCAAAAGCTAAGATTTTACCTTAATAAATTTTAACTTATTTTTAGGAAGTCCCCGTGTTAAAGGATAAAAATAAAGAATTGAGAACTGGGTAACTTCAGTCTAAAAATTTTTACTATAATGCATTGTGACTGTTAACTGTTAAGTATAGATAAAACATGTTAATACTAGAGTTGCTGCCAGGAATCCAAACTGAAACGGATAAGGGTTCGGTTCGGGTTCAGGTTCGGATAAAAATAACGGTTTAATGTTTAGGTTCGGTTCTTAAAAAATCTAAACATCGCTTCGGTTTGAACCTCTAAAAACCTGTTTGAACGTTTTTGTATTCAAACCTACATTCGACTTGTGTATAGGGAAAAAAAATTTTTTATTACATAATTAAAATAAAAAAACACACAAAAAACCTTCATTTTTATTAATTGCACATTATAAAATAACATTTAATTTATAAATATATATAACAAATAAATATCAATGATTAATTTTAATATGAACAATTACATAAAAAAATTTTTATTAAGCCGCACAATTAATATATTTTTAAAATTCGTCTCACTCAAATTACATCTATAAGGAGATAATATAAATTTAATTGTTGAAAAACATCTTTCCACACTAACTTAGGTAGCCGACACTGCCAATATGATATCAGATTTGATTTGTCATATATAATAATATTTTGGATTTAATTTTTCTCTAAACATTATAATTTATAAGCTTAAAATATTTAAAAAATGTTGTAAAATGACAATATACTAAAGTTTATAAAAATTATGACCGACACAATCAAATGTGATTGATGCTAATCTTTAAAATAATTCGAATATGATTGAAATTTTTTCAATATACTAATAATAACTTACATATTATTTTATAAGAATAAAATCATGAGGCTTGAACCAGTTCAGAGGCATTTTAGCGGTTCGGTTCAGGTTCAGCTAGAAATTTTTTAGCGGTTTAGGTTCGGTTCAGGTTCGATAAAAAATACCGGTTTTAGCGGTTTAACGGTTCGGTTCAGGTTCGGTTTGGATCCCTGGTTGCTGCTAAGTTTATTCCTACATAAATTGATCTAGTGTTGTTTAAATGGTTCGATTTAAACCGACTAATTGCCATCTATTGGATAAATCTTAAGGCTTAGGCGATATTTCACTGGCCAAAATATTAAGCTAGATTGATCATAAGAATGGCCATTCTCTATAATGATATTTATATTTAAATTTTTTTAAACGATAATTTTTATTTTTTTTAAGGGATTTAAGTAACAATTTTATAATCGTCATCTCAAGACAAACATTCTATGGTAACCCACTACTAAAAAACTTGTAAGAGCTTGCTATATTATATAATATTTAATCATGTAATATAATCATTTTAAACTTTTTAAAATATAGATTATATTTTATTTTCTAATATATTTTAAAAATTATCATTTTATTCCATCAAATTTTAAATTAAAACACGATACTAATTGTATTAATATTTGAGTATTCAAATTAGTTGGGTATAATTGTTCTTAAGTCATTTTAGTTTTTTAGCCCTAAAGATGCTAATTTTTTAAATTTTATCCTAAAACTCTCACCATAGTTTTCAGTTTTCCAGATTTTCTTCGGCACGCGTCTATAGATTGGTAAATTAACCGATTTTAGCCGTCTTCCCTAATTATATTGAATACTATTTATCAGAGTTGTTAAAAGATCTAGATACCTAGATATAAAAATGTGGTATCTGTATCTGGATAGATTTTTGATGAAAACATCTGTATCTAGATATTATTTTAGACGATGCATCTGTATCTAGATCCATTTAAAAAGTATCTTTTAACAACTCTGCTATTTATACTATTTTAAGAAAAGATAAGTTTGTCGAGTATAAATTTTAAACGACTTTAAAATGACCAAATTGTTTTTTTTTTTAAAAAAATTATCCGTAATAAGACAATTAGATAATAATCAGATTTCATGCATCTCGGACACCAGTGGAATCAAAGATCTCTTGCACATGGAAATTTTGTGAGAAAATCGATTTTATTTTATTTTTTTTTTAAACGTTTTACTTTTTTTTTCTTCTTCTTCTTCTTCTTCTTAAAATTAAGAAACTCATTCTAAATTATTTGTAAGAAAGAAATAAAGAAAGAGAAGACGGAAAAGAAATAGTGAAGAAATAAATAAAGTTAAATAAAGAAAGAAAGAAAAATAAATAAAAAAAACTATAGAAAGTTCTATAGTGAGTATATTAATGCAATTATTAAGTAAATTAAATAAGGATCTTTTAATTTCAGAATTTGCTGGAATAATAAAAAAACGAGACTTTTTATACATTTTTATTTATATTTATACTGTCACAGAACGTTAAATGACAATAACCTCTCAACGATTCCTTATAAAATTTTTGACGGAATGCCTAAACTCAGGGTTCTGTAAGTCAATCAAATATTATAAGTATACATATAATTTTTTTTTATCTAAGAAATTTTAATTTGTATAAATTTTCCCGATCCATTACTCGCTTTAAAAAATAAAATTTGTTAAAAACGCCTTTATAAACTATGAACTAATATTTAATTTTACCTTCTGTTTAATATTGTTGTTAAACTGTTCGTTTTGAATCGATTTTTTAAAGATGGCTAGCTCTATTTTTTTACTCAACTGAAGATTTTTCTCATGGATGCCACAAAGATTTGGACATCTACTAGCGAAATCTGGAGGCTAACGCGACGTTTTTCTGGCTAGAATATTGAATCAGCCCATTTTTAAAAATCGGCTTAAACCGAGTCATTTAGCGACACTCTCCTCTATTTATCTACAAATAAATAAAAAAATTAAAAAAGACGATTGATGAATAATCCTTTGCATTGCGATTGCAACGTGGCCTGGTTAACCCAATGGTTACGGGTCCATCCAGCCCTGGCCTTGTTTACGAGATGTTTCACTAATGCGAAACGTAACTACAAGAAAGAGGTGGCCGAATTATCGGATATGGATTTGGATTGCGGAGGTTAATATTTCTTTTTAAATATTCACTTTTGTTTTTTTTGGTTAACTTAGATTAAAATTTATATGGTTGTCTTATTTTATATTTTTCACATCCTCGAGGGATTTAAATATGATGTATAATTTATATTTGTTTAATTATATTTTATTGATTTTTTTTTATTAATTATATAGGAATGTTTGCATGGTAATTTCCATTAAAAAAAAGTTATAAATACAGGGCTCAATTTTGTAAGTCTTGTGATTATTTGTATTTATTTTCCATTGCACGAAAAGCTGAGAATGTAAACGGGCTGAACTTCAATTCCAACATATTCCGTCGGCACATAATTAAGAGAGATCAAGATTTAGGAGAAGAAGACAATTGCCCTCTCAACTTTGAACCCATGTGTCCTCACCCTTGCACGTGTTCAAAGGGCACGGTTGATTGTTCCAACAAACGGTTGGAAGAATTCCCGCCTTACTTTCCGCCTAGTACCAAAGAAATGTATGTAATTAAAACTCAAAAATTAATCGCTTTTAATAAATTTTAAATATCCTTATTTTGTTTACATATTATTTATTTATATTTATTTATTTTAAGACGTTTAAACAACAACAATATCATGGAGGTTCCAGATCAGGCCTTCGCTGGACTTAAATTCCTACTTAAAATGTATGATTAAAATAAATATTATCAATATTCTTTCATATTTTCTAACGTATAATTTTTTTAAAAAAAGAAAATAACTGAATCAAAATCATAAGGATAACTCGCTTTCGTTAGAGGACTAAGTTATAATATAATTATGATTTTTGTATTATAAATTATATGTGTATATTTTGAAAAATCGTATATTTCTTAGAGATTTGAGCCATAACTCCATCAGCACTTTGCCAGCCAAAGTTTTCGAGGGCATGAAGACGTTGAATTCATTGTAAATTTTATTTTTTAAAATAAATTCAAAATATATGTTTTTTTTGCTTAAACTTTCTTTCTAATTGTTTAGGATAATGTACAGCAATCATTTAGAACTCCTGCCTTCCAAAATATTCGAAGATCTAACTTCGCTTCAATTATTGTAAACAATTTCGATTATTATTTATAATATATTATATAAAAAATTGTATTTTTTCCGAGTAATTGAGACTGCTATCAGGGCTTCTTTCGCGATTTTATAATTTTATTCGTTCTTACTTTGTGAAAGCTCATGTATACCATGACAAAATTTTACTTTATGACTCAATAGTTTAGCAGCAAAATTGTCTACGATTCATAAGAGAGGTTATTCCTAACATGATAGAATCTATTTCCGGCAAAATCCAATAAAGTTTAAAAAAAAAAGTCTTGATAAATTGAGCAACTGTATAAATTGGACAAAATTCATGCGCCCTAAAATAGTCAGGTATGGGCTGCACATTATTTTTTGTAATTATAGTTTACAGTTAACCCTACCTTATATTGCGTTTTATAGATATCAATCCAGATGAGAAATATTATATCTCCTTTAAATAAAACGAATTTGAAATAATTGTGAAAATTTAGGGGGTTATACTTTTAAAATAAACCCTTTTTTCTAAAAATCATATCTAATCTATACTCACCCTAACTAGCCTGCATCAGACACTGATCTTGTATGTAGATTCTTTTAAATTCAACCAATTATAAAGTATCATTTTAGTATGAAAACTATTTACGGACATAGTGTTTAGTACCATAACAATAATCAATATTCATTAATAACTTATCAGAAAAATATATATTAATCTGTTTTCTGTACATTTCATTTTTTTTTAAAGGTTATTGAATGGTAACAGAATTAGGTGTATTCAAACGGAATTATTCAAGGATCTAACTAACCTAAATTTATTGTAAGTTTCGAATATCTTTTTTATCGAAAATATAATTTAATTTTTTTTTTCAAATATAAAATATGAACTTTCTCAGGTCTTTGTACGACAATAAGATCCAATCTATAGCTAATGGTACCTTCGCTTCATTGACCAAAATTCAAACCTTGTAACACATTTTTATCAAAACATTTTATTCATAAAAATTATTATATATTTACTTTTGCTCATCGTTTATCTAATGTGCCCTTTAAATGTTACTGAGAGCCGATTTTTAAAAAAGGGCTAACTCAATATTTTAGCCCAGAAAAATATTTCCCAACCCCCATAGATTTTGCTAATAAGATGTTCCAAACCTTGGTTTCCTTCTACAAACAAGAATATTCAGGGTTGCGTAATATTATTCTGGATGAAATATTGAGTTAGCCGTTTTTAAAAAAACGGCTCAAAACGAGCCGTCTAACAACACTAGCTGATATGGCCGTATTTAGCAGGGCCGTGTTAAAAAAAAAGAGAAACTATCAGGGGTCCCCTGGCCGCCGAAAATTAAACGATTTTAAAGGATCAATTTTACTATTTATTTTTTTAGCCTCCTGCCCTAATTTACCTAGAATATTTTAGGTTAACATTTTTGCTGGAAATTTTATTCTGAATTAATACCTAGTGGCAGAAACCTACATTTCTTGTTTAAAATGATATATTTTATTTTGTACAAAACCCATATAAAGGTAAAATTGAATTTAAATTATTTTTTTTAAAAAAAAGGCATTTAGGAAAAAATCCTTTTATCTGTGATTGCAACATGCGATGGTTGGGAGATATGTTAAAGAATAAAAAGGCTATAGAGACGAGTGGTGCTACCTGCGATAGTCCAACAAGGGTTGAAAAGAAAAGATTGGCGGATATGAATATCAACAAATTCAAATGCAAAGGTTATTGTTACATTTTTCTTTCCCACGACTTAATCCTTTTGGAGGCAAAAAAAAAGGAAGATTTACTTATGTTCACTTCATAGAGTTGCGAATCAAATATGTAAAATAAAAAATTTATAAAACTTTTATTTTAAATATTAAGGGTCGGAAGAATTGAGAACGAAATTGGCAGGTGAGTGCATGATCGATTTGGAATGCCCATCAATGTGTAATTGCGAAGGCCATTCGGTCGAGTGCGGAGGACGGAATCTAAAAGATATCCCTTCGAATATTCCCATTTTCACGACCGAAATGTAACAAGTTTTTAAATACTAGAAGGAAAAGAAAGAAAGAAAGAAAGAAAGAAAGAAAGAAAGAAAGAAAGAAAGAAAGAAAGAAAGAAAGAAAGAAAGAAAGAAAGAAAGAAAGAAAGAAAGAAACAAGGAAAATCAAAATATAAGATGCCCTACTTTATTAAGGTAAGGTAGTTTACTATGTAATGGTCCAGTTTTTTTAGTATCAAATTTAATTTTTATTTAATTTGGTAATAATATAAACACAATATTTTTAAAGAAATTTGAGCAATAACCTGATAACGGAAATACCTACGGATGCATTTAAAACGCTCGTTAACCTGGAAAAGATGTAAATCGCAATATTAAAAAAATAATAATCTATAATTGGTGTTGTAAAGCCCGGATTTCTCAAGTTCCTTTACCACTCATACATAGATAGCGTGAACTGGCGGCACACAAAAATGCCGCCCTATTTTCCATGCTTCGCTGAGAATTCGTACTAACAGAGAGAGATTAAAGAATATTTAATACTTCTTAAACTCAGAAAATAGAATTATTTTTTTTTAAAAAAAAGGAAGGAAACGTTAGCTATTTTATTACTAACCCGATATATTAATATATATATTTTTTTTTTCAAATATTTATATATACGACCTTAAAGCGATCTAAGGAACAATTTGATAGAGAATATTCACGACAATGCTTTCGCTAATTGCAAGAAAGTCACTAATCTGTAATAACAATAATATTTATATATATATTTTTTTTCTTTAGCTGTATTAAATAACTTTGGCAAATTTGTAACAAAAATAACAAAGATTGACTTATACATTTGCCTGAAATCTTTAAATCAAGCAATATTTTTTCTTATTTAATTAAAGTAACTTAACATATACCAAGCAGCATTTTATGCTCTTATCATTTCATATTAAAAAGTTTCTAAAGAATTATTCTATAATACGTGCTCAAAAGTAAATTTAGGCGCTCGATATACTGTTTGCTATTTATTTTTATACTATAAAATTAAAAAAATGAAATAAAATAATTTTGATTTATTATTTGATTTATTTATTTAAATGTTAATTTTTTTACAAAGCTTATTAACGGAAAACAAATTGACCCGTTTAACGCCTAAAATGTTTACCGGCTTAATTAACCTTAGAACGCTGTAAATTATGCTTTTATCATATTATATGAATTCTATATATCATTTTTTTAAATAATATTTACTTATTTAATTACTGTGAAATATATATTATACATTATATATAGTTTAAAAAAAAAATAAAATAATGAAAGAGATAAGTAGTGTCGTCAAGTTTTGAGACGATTTTTTAAAAACGGCTAACTCAATATTTCATCCAGAAAAATGCAAGCCTGAAGATTTTGCTTATAGAAGGAACAAAGGTTTAGACATATATTATCAAAATTTCAAGACTTAGGCAATATTTTTCCTGGCTAAAATATTGAGTTAGCCGTTTTGAAAAATCGGCTCGAAACGAGCCCTTTAACAACACTAGATATAAGTACAACATAATTATATTTTATACTTATATATATTACATCCTAACTTATAAAATATCATATATATATATATATATATAAAGAACCCTTAGGACGAATAGATTGACATGCATAACCAATGATACCTTCGACGAATTGCCCAATCTGAGATTATTGTATATTTTCATTAAACAAACAAAATATAAAAAAACTAACTTGATAATATAAAAGATTTGTATATCATCATAAATTTCCAATAATTTTGTTTAAAATATTGTTTTTAGATCATTCTACGACAATCAAATTCGTTCTATAATGCCCGGGGCGTTCAACGGTTTGAAGCATTTATCTACACTGTAAACCTTTTTATATCGAATTACGTATTTGTATAACATATTATTATTGCGTATAATAGATATATATAATAATAATAATACTTTAAAAAAACAATCGCAATAATTGTCCTTAAATAGAGCATTTAATTACAAAGACACCAATTTTAGATTATTTGTATAAATTATTAAAATATAATTAGGAATTTACTGGCTAATCCGTTCGAATGTGATTGTCATCTTAAATGGATGAAGGAGTGGCTAAAAAATCAGTACATAGTGACGGGTAATCCCAGATGTTACACACCGCAAAATTTCAGGGATCTTCCTATCCAAGAACTCGAAACCAACGATTTTAAATGTTACTATAGATTTTATTCAATAAAATTTATTATCCTAATCCTAATATTACCACATACCGTAATAATATTAAAAAAAATTTTAACTACAAAAGTCGTCAATCGTTTTAAATCGAATACTAATAAAAAAATATCAAAAAAATAAAATAATAATTTATCGATAAAAGGTGAAATGGATGAGAATTCCGACTATATCCACGAGCACAATTGCGAATCCGGACAAATTTGTCCCAACAAATGCACCTGTTCGGGAACGATAGTTCAGTGTAGCCACTCAAAGCTGAACATATTCCCGAGAGGGATTCCTTTCGACACTACAGAATTGTATCTGGATAATAATTTCATAACTTCCATACCTAGTCACGTTTTGGCTAATTTGCCTAAATTGGAAAGAATGTAATACGATAAATTATAACGCATTTACTATTATTATTCAATTTTATACATAATGATAGTAAAAATTTTTTCCCGCGCTTTGGCAATAAGGCTACTAATTATTAGAGTTGTTAAAGAATCTAGATACAAGTATCTAGATCTGCTGTATCTAGATAGATTTTTGATTAAATAATCTGTATCTAGATATTATTTTAGACGTTGTATCTGTATCTAGATCCATTTAAAAAGTATCTTTTAACAACTCTGCTAATTATACATAATATTTTTTTTGCGTATCTTATCCCGCATTCACAGTTAACGTGTCGCATCGAGGTAAACAAAAATATAGGATATTTTATATAATTCACAGCCTATTTTGGGCGCTAGCTGTGAATACAGGGATACGAAGATTTTTCTCGGCTAATAAAAATTATATAATGCGCAGCGCACTAGTTACCAGCCAGCCTATTGTAATGTCACAAAAGTGAGTGACATAACTCTGATTTTATTTATATTAAAGATTGTGCTTATTGAAAAATCGTGGATCTTTGTATATAATATTCTAAACTAACAATATTTTGTTAATTTCGTTAATAACAAATGTTTAGAGATCTGAGCAATAATCAAATAACTCACATTCCGGACCATATGTTCTCCAATAATTCTCTATTATCCACCTTGTAAGTAAATGGATATACATATATTAATTTTTTTTTTATATAGGATATATGCAATTTTTTTCTATTTAAACAAAAATATTGAAAATAAATCTTTTCCAACGACATATAATAATAACACCTGGAAGACAGCTGGGGACGCCATTTTAATTACCCGAATCATTATTAAAAAAATTTAAACGAGAGGTCAATTTATTCCTATGTCTGACGCGACTTATATTAAAGAATTGCCTGATCATGGAGATGATGAGGAAACAAGTTATCGATTTAATAGTAGTTTTTTAACATGAGAATAATTACTATATGGGTTACCAAAATGGCGGATCCAGCTGATTTGCATTCAACTACGCCTTCTAATGCATTATTATGATTGGCATCGTCACTCTAGGTATTGTTATATGTCATAGATCTTTTCAGAAGGAAGGGAAGGGAAGGAAGAAAGGAAATAAAGAATATTCTAGCATTTTACAAAAAAAAAATGAATCAATTTTTGCCCCTTTGGAATAATCCGACATTTTGATTTGCCATTTAAAAAAAAATATTTTGCAAAATATATATCAGCAATAATAAATAAATTTTATTTATTTTTTTTGCACCAAAAAAAAGAATACTCAGCTACAACAAAATCCAATGTGTCGATGCTAAAGGTTTCCATGGACTGAGCCAGTTAAGACTCTTGTCCCTGCACGGCAATCGAATATCTTTCTTACCCGAGCAAAGCTTTCAAGATATGAAAATTTTATCCCACATGTAAAAGAAAAAGATAAAAACAAAAAAATCATTAATTTTTTGCTTATATCTTGTTAACTTTTTTCCTTCTTATTGTATATGAACTATAAATTAGTTTGTTCAGAACTCCCAATAATAGAATAGAAAAAATTATTCATGGCCGGCTAGAAAATAGAAATTCATTATAATCTAATATTGTTGAATGCTCAAATTTTGCTTTGGATCCAACCTTCTGCATTTTTTTTGGGTGAATTAAATTTATCTCATTTCCTTGAATATTCCCGTTATTATTCAAAATTTAGAGCCTTGGGACAAAACGAATTGTATTGCGACTGTAAAATGGCGTGGTTATCCGAATGGGTACGTAAATCCTATATTGAACCCGGAATAGCCAGGTGCTGGGAACCTCATCCGATGAAGGACAAACTATTACTGACTAGTCCTACCTCGGCCTTCGTGTGCCAAAGTTAGTTTTGAAAAAGCAAAAAAAATCAAAAGCACACTCGTTTTTAAATGCGGCTATTAAAAAAGACGTTTTTTTTTTTATTAAATTGTTTCGAATTTCATTGAGATCGATCGCTAATTTTAGAGTTTAACGAGAGTTTGGCAAACACCGGAGTTGTTAAAGTATCTAGATATAAAAATGTGTATCTGTATCTAGATAGATTTTTGATTAAAGTATCTGTATCTAGATCCATTTATAAAGTATCTTTTAACAACTCTGGCAAAACACTGTTTATTAATTAGCTGAGAAATATTTTGGAAATAAGTTAAAGTAATAAAAATATTTTTGTTTTTTTTTCTTGATTAGACCAGCCTAACGCGGAAATCCTTTCCAAGTGCGATATTTGTTACACCTTTCCGTGCTTAAACGGAGCTACTTGCATACACCTCAAGGGTTCGGCCACGCAAAAAGACGCTTTTAAATGTCAATGTGGTCCAGGTTTCCATGGGGATAAATGCCAGTACATCATAGACGCCTGTTACGGTAACCCGTGCGAGAACGGCGGACTTTGCAAAGTTATTCAACACGGGAGATTTAGGTTGGTTTTGTGATCATTTTTTTTTGCTAAATGACTATTTGAATATCGTGGTGATGATGCATATTAGTTAAAACTAAATAAGTATCGATAACAAAACTTTATTTCGGGCCAAACCCAATTTTTAGCCCTAAAACAATAAGCTCACGTCTCATGGGGTTAGTTTCGAAATTTTATTTTAAGAAGATATCTGATGCTAACCACAGGGAATTAAATGGCTCATTATAGATGATCTTCTGAACTTATTCGTAGAATTATTTAAATAAATGGTTCCTAAAAAAAATGATATGTTGGATAAATATTTTTAAGAATACGTGTAAAATAGTTTAAAGTTTTCCCAAGAACCATATTAAAAAATAGATTCATTTATATTTTTTTAAAAAAAATAATCAAAGTTGTCTCTGCCCCCAAGGTTATGACGGTTTAAGGTGCGAAAACAATGTAGACAATTGTGCCATGATTTTGGAAACGGAAAATAGTGGAAGTAGATGCTACAATAATGGCACATGTGTAGATGGATTGAATTCTTACACATGTAGATGCTCTCCCGGTTACACTGGTAAGTTTTTTGAAATAAATTAAATTATCTTTACGCGATATCGCTCTATAATCGCTTTACTCACGAATGCCGCCTGTCCCAGTCTTAATGGTCCTCTTTAAGCATCCTAATTTTCTTGATTATTTCATCTGGATCATATATTTGATATTATCATCAATCCCGCATATTTTAAATATCTCTTTCCTTATCTATCAAATTGTTCTCCATTATGCACACACACACTCACATTACACATGTTGTTTGCTTCTTTTCGTTCAGCAATTTATAGGACTTTAAATGACATTATCTTAATCGGAATATATTTTATTTTCGTTTTGGCACACCTTAATTTTAGGGAAATTTTGCGAAGAAAAAATAAACTATTGCCAAGATGTTAACCCTTGCTTCAATGGGTCCACTTGCGTCAACACGGAATATTTGTATAGGTATATTCATTTTTTTCTTGCCTGAAACATTAAATGCAAGAATTTAAGAGATAATAAAACCATTATACATAACATAGTGATGGATTAAATTTTAAACCAAGAATATAATAAAAAAAAATATCAAAAGATTTAAATTCACAAATTTTCGAAACTTTAAATAAAAATAAAATAAATAAGCTATTTTAAATATAAAAATATAATCATGTCCTAAATAATAATTCTAGAAAAATTTTATAAATTTCAAAAAAATTTAACTTACCATTTTTCGTAATATTTAAGATTTGCCAAAGTTTTAAAACTCTTCGAATTTTTATAAAATTCCTTTGGACCAAATGACATATCTTAATACTTAGACTGACGATTCATTCATTAAAAGTGTACATCAATGAAAAACAGCTGGGGACGCCATTTTGATTACCCATATCATTATTAAAAATTTTAAACTAAAGGTCAATTTATTCCTAAGCCTGACGCAAACTTTTTTTTTAAAGAATTGCCACATCATCGAGATGATAAGGAAGCAAGTTATCAATTTAATAGTAGTTTTTTAACATGGGAATAATTACCATATGGGTTACCAAAATGGCGGTTCCAGCTGATTTGCATTCGACTACGCTTTGAAACACATCATTATGAATGCGTCGTCAGTCTAGGTATTATAACATGTCATTGCTTTGGACACAGCCTTACAAATGAAAAAAAAAACTATGAGCGCGTTTTTTAAAAATTTTAAAAATTCAATTTTACCGGAAATGTATGCCGCCATGTTTGGAATAATCTACCCTATGAATTTCAGACAACTTTTCCAGGAACCTTTAAAACTTAATATATTATATATATATTTCGTATAATTTATAAATGACTCAGAGGTTAACAGCAAAATTGTTCTAACAATTCGTAAGATGGGTCGTATTTCAATCATGACAGAATATATTTCCGGTATAATGCGATTTTTAAAATTTAAAAGAAACGCGCTAAATAACAAATTGTCGGAAAAAAATACATTGACACTAACATTTATATATAATTTAAATTATACTTATGGAGAATTGTCCCGCTAGAAAAAAAAAACTAAGTTATAAACACAAAATTTAGATGTGTATGTCCCAAGGGTTACGATGGGATTAACTGTTCTCACAATATAGACGATTGTCATCACCACATTTGCCAAATGGGGTCTACCTGTGTCGACTTGATAGATTCGTTCCAGTGTAGGTGCCCCGCAAGCATGACTGGCAAATATTGCGAAATAAGCGCCGAAAACGAAAATATGAACTCTATCATAACCTGGCCCAGATCTAGTCCCTGCTTGCAGCACGATTGCGAAAATGGAATTTGCTTTCAAGTATAATTATATATAATATATATTTTTTTAAATTTAAATAATAGTATTATATCATTTTTATTTATCTCAAAACGCGTTCAGCTGTCATTGGACAAAAAAAAAAGATGTCTCCTTAAAAAAATTATTGATAAAATATTTTGTAAAATGTTTTACAATTTTCAACTATTAAAACATATAAACCACATCAGTATATAATATTTGCTAATTAATCAAATGAACATTCAATAGTAATCGATAACATTTGAATTCACGGAAAAGTTTTTGATGAATTTTAAATGATTTTAGAAATTATCAACTTTGAAGAGATCTTTATTGTAATTAATAACTGTTAATACTTTTGTGGCTACTCTTTTAAATTGATATTTAATTTAAATTACAGCTTATAATTATTAGTTACTGACTTAATCGATGCATTCTAAAATTTCTTTAAATAAAACATTGTCAATATTATATGTATTAATATTTTATTTTGTTATCTAATATTAGATTTATGTTACCCATTAATTGTTAAAAAAAAATGCCTAGAATAAGTTTGTATTTAAATGAATTGAAATTTATTGTTAAATATTTGCTAAATTAATTTTTAAAAAGCCAAACGCTTCTAACCCAGAATATGAATGTCATTGCTCACCAGGGTACGGTGGTAAAAAGTGCGATATTTTAACCAGCGTTTCTTTTATGGAAGAAAGGACATCAGCGACATCTAGAAGAGGTTATTTAAGCTTAGAATTGACGCATGATTTGTATCAACAACAAGATAGGTTTTTAAAACGATATTTTCTTTTTTTTAAATTTAAAAATAATAAAAAAATGATAACTCTCACAGAGTCACCATTTGATCAATCTTTTAAAAGTTAAGATTAGATATTGGATGTAAAATGAAAGAAAGAGAATGATTGAATTTGTGCTGCCCCGAAGATTATATAGATTTTTTTTTAAATAAAAAAGAATAATTAATAAATTAGGTTGGATGGCTAATTAGTAAAATAAATCAAACAGATGGTTTGGAAGTTATGAATCAAGTTCTTTTCTTAACCCCAAAATTCTCAATATTATCTTTCTAACGCTTATTATCATATTTTTTTTAAACGATTATTTAAGACGATCAGTGAATCTAGTTTCAACTACTGATAACGATAATCCCAATCTCAATTTTTTCCTATCTCAAGCAAGATCCAATCATTTACTAAGCAATCTAACCCTGAGTTTTGCCACCAGTCTTTCCAACGGAATAATTGCTTATTTAGCTCCCACTTTACCTACCCTAAAAATTCATAAAGAGGGCTACAACGATTTCCTCAATACTCCGATGACGATGAATAATCGTCATAAAAATAATACGTTTCAGAATCATGTGTCAGGTTTCATCTCGATTTATATCATGATTGACTTTTCAACCTTTTATTAGACATGCCACAAATTTCTTATTTATATAGGATATAAACTCAATCTTTTATTATATGATCATCAAACTAGTCGATACCTTAAAATTTAAATTTAAAACAAAATATATTTTTAGTCACTACGGCCAGTACATATATAAATCCGTTTAATGTTAAGCCACATATAGCTATCGAATTGTTTAGAGGAAGGATAAGGGTGAGTTTTGATTTAGGCAATCATCCCGCTCCTTCAACCATGTTCAGTTATCAAAAGGTAGATGACGGATTATTTCATCAAGTTCAATTCTTGGTATAATAATAAATATATATATATATATAATATTTCTATTTAATTATTATTCTTATTATTATGGGATTAGAAACCTAAGCTGTGTAATTACTTAGACCATTTTTTTTAAAGGAATAAGTATAAGGTTTTATCTAGAAAATATAGGGTTACAATCTGCGAACCACATCAAAAGATTAAACCCAAATGAGGCAGACTTTGATCACCTTATAAATATTTTACCCAAGCATTATTCAACAGCATAACCCGAAATACACATAATAAAATTACTATAATCAAAATTAAAATGATTATTATATTATTAGGAAAAAAAAAATTATTTTATATAATATATAAAATACATGTCTACAATAAATATATTGATAATTAAAATTAAAGGACATCTAATCATTTGTAAGTTTAATTAGAGATCTGCGAAAGTAGGCCCCGGGGTCAGGTTGGGTCGGGCCTAATATTTTTAAGGAAATTCGGGCCGGTTCGAGTCGGGCCTTAGAAACTTTTTAAAATATATCTAAATTTATCAATTTTATGCCGAATCTTTTATGTAAAATAAAAATATTTGATTTTATTTATAAAAACTAGACGCCATATAATATATATCGTTTATTTTGAGCATTCGGGCCGGGCCGGTAAATTTTTTCAAAAAAATTTCAGGCCGGCAAAACCTTTTCAAAAAATTTCGAGTTAGGGCCGGGTCGAGCTTGAAAATTAGGCACGATGAAGATCACTAAGTTTTAATAATATAAAAAATGAGGCTAATATGACATTTTGAATTCATTCATAACCCAATATCCGATCAGTTATTAGAGCAAAATTTGACGATGAAAATAGACGATAGTCCCGCTATAACGGTCACTAATACCGGCCCCATCAGGAGTTTGGATCAATTGATAAACTATATTCTACCGAATTCGAAATCGTTCCAGAACGAAGTTCAACACTCATACGATAATAACGTCGTTAATTATAGATGGCCAATGCTCTATCTAGCAGGTCTGCCAGAAAAACTTAGCCAGGAAGCCAAAACCCAATGGCACATATGGGACTCTAATTCCTTCGTTGGTTAATAATAATATATAAATATAGATAGATTTAGGAAAACTCGTAATAATGATATTATACTTGCTAGACCTGCCATACGTTCTGCTCGCGCTATCCCTTTAAATGAATTTCTGTCCCGCATAGAATAAGGCGACCAAATGTCCTGCGAAATTATTAAAATTAAGAAATTTCTGCTGATTAGTAATTTAAAAACCTTTAAGATTATTTATGAAATTTAATATTAAATAAACAGCTTGTAATTTCATTCATATTTTATAAACAGCTGCTATTTTTCTTGCTAAATTTTGGGCTAAATATCAGCCACGGATCTTAGGGTACAATCAACTTAGTAAAAAAAATGTTCTTCAGAATTATTTAAAAAACCATTATCCAATATATTGAAGATGGATATGATTTTCATAATAATAGATAAAAAAAATAGCTTAAAATTTTAACAATGAACCATTCAATCAAGTTCGACCGTTTTTTTAAGTAAATGTAGATAGCTTTAAACTTAAAAGTGTAAAATATCAAAGAGAAGCAGAAATTCGTATACTCTCCAAATTCGTCAAAACTGAGAATTTATCAAAATTTTTCTCATCAAAAAAAGGAATGGATGAAATTTTTTAATATCTAATCAAAGCAATAAACTTAGAAAAAATAAAATAGGTAATTATATATTTTCAATTAAGCATTCAAATGCGGCTTCAGAGTGAATTCTTACTTGAATGAATAAGTTGTGGGGAAAAAAAAATTGTTCTTCTATCTCAAAGCTGATGGTAAATCAGAATTTTAACATGATTCGCTAAGAGTTCGCGAAATTTATTTCTCTCCAAAGATAAGAAACTTTTAAATTAAATAGATTTTTTTCCGATAAATATATTTGTGATTTGTATTTAATTTTACTATATTTTGACTTCGTAAAATATGCATAATATTCAAATAAAGATTGTTAAATTAGTATAATTTGACCCAAAAAAAAATTATTTACTAATACTAATATTATATAAAATGTGATTATGTTTTCCCCCTCTTTAATCCTACCTTTTTATGAATTTTAATCATTGAATATCCCGCAAACTCACTTTTAGAATATGGCGGGTCTAATACCAGGCCCATCCTTTAATTTTATTAAATTTGTGTTACAGAATCTGAAGTCGTCCACAATTAATGGGCCACGGAAGTTTAACAACTAGACTCGAATAATTTTTTCTATATAATTATTTTAAATTTGTAAATTAACATCAAACCAATAATTTAAGTTTTGAAATGATTTTATTTCAAACAAACACATTTGTGAATATATATCAAGGTTGCCTAAAGAACGTTCACTTAAACGGTAAACTGTTCGATTTTTCGACGCAAATATCGGATCAGTACAAAATGTCTCCTGGCTGTCCAAGTCACAACAACCAACAAGGCCTTCTCCCCTCACTATCATCAGCTGATCCCTGCGTCGCTAATATGTGCAAAAACGGGCAGTGCAAACCTTTGAACGCTATGGGATATCGGTGCCTATGTAAGGCAGGTTGGAGCGGAACTTTTTGTGACAAAGGTTCGCTCATTTCTTTTCTATTTGAAATCGGTTTATTTAACTCTATAAATATTATTTTTTTATTAGTTGATAGTTATTTGAAAATAATTTTGATTGTATAAATAGAATTTATAAATTAAGATTTATGGTTCTGCTTCCGGTCATTTTTTTTAATTCTGGCTATTTTTTTAAAAAATGGTGCTGTTTCCGGTTATTTTTTAAAAAGTTATTTCTGTTTCCGGTTATTTTTTAGAAAATGTTTTCTGCTTCCGATTATATTTTAAGAATCTAGGAAAATCATTCCCTGCAAAAAATATCCCCGTTTTTTATGATATTAAAATTTACAAAAATTAATAAAATAGGAGAAAAAATTCCCTATAAATATATCCATGGAATAAAAATCCTCAAACAATATATTTTAAAATTTTGAAAAAATCAATTCCCGAGAATTGTTTCTCATGAATTATTATTGGGTATTTTTTTTTAAAAAAAATAGTTCTACTTCCGGTTATTTTTTTTAAAAAAATGGTTCTGTTTCCGGTTATTTTTTTAAAAAAATTGGTTCCGGTTACTATAATTTTTTTAAAAAGTGTGATTCCAAAAGTTCCTTCCAAACTATATATAAAGCAATCAAAAAAAATTGAAGGTATTTAAACATAAAATTAAGCCACTAAAAAGGGAATCAGAACAACATGTTAAACAATGTAATATGCGAACTACCTCCATTTTGTTTATGGTCTCAGAGGCAGTTTCCTGAAAATTCTATTATGCGTTCTTGTTCTAGTGCCAAACGCTGATTATAAATTCGATTTAGGGTGAATTGTAATATACGTCACGACAGATTTAGTTATATTCAAATTAATTATCATACACTAAAGTTACTCTAAATGTATGTTGTTAGCATATGAAACTAGGACTATTTTCTAATTTTTCCAGCCCTACACAGTAACTTCTGCACCCTCTAAGTCAAATGCAATAGCCTCCTACCCTTTTGAAATTTTTAATAAATCATACAATAAAGAAATATAATGATAACTAGGGATGTGATATAGGGCCAATTTCCCTTAGCTTCCCGAATTTTTATTTTATGTTTTTTTTGATCAAATAAGCCTGATTTATATCATAAAAAAATATTTGTTCCTTGATTCATATCTCATAATTGTGTTTTATTTTTATATTTACTTTCATTTTCGATAATATAATATTAGTTAAACTATATCAATGTTCATCGTATGAATTTATTTTATCGACTAAAATATTTAAATTTTTTAAATAATAACTAAAATAAGATAAGGGAGTAGCACAAAAAAATAAAGGGATATAGGAAAGGGTAAGCTGACTTACTTTTCTAATTTTAATTCAACTAATAATTATATAAATTTTTTGAAATATCTTTAAACACAATATTTAAAATTATCTCTAGAATTTATTCAGTAAAAATTTATTAAACAATGAATATGAAAGGATTAAAAATTTGATTCTTATTAATGATGGGTGACAGGCGCGTAAGCAACGGCGGAGGGCAGTGGGACAAATCCCCCCCCCAAGCCAAAAAATGCAGATGCCGGATAATATTTATCAAAAATATTATTGTTAATATTAATTTATATTTGTTAATATATATTCCTATCTATATTTAATTACATTTATTTATACATTTATTTATCACATTTATCAACTAAGTTATTTTATCAATTAATTACGATTTCAAGTTTTCCTTGGCGTAATTTACCCATTATTTTCAAATTTTAATGGCGTATTATTTATCTAAATTTCTAGTCAAATAATAATTATCTCTGATACTCCTTATTCAACAGGGAGAAAGAAATTGCAAGCCTGTCCAACGAGATCGAGTCTCCGCCATCAAGCATTAACAGCTTTTATGGAGTTAGAAGAGCCGATTATTAATGCTATTACTGAAATATCACAATGGCTTGAAAGAAATATTTCCTCAGAAGCAAGAAAATTATTTAATTCAATACTTTTTCCAAAGTTTTTTTCTCATTAGAACGTATTATTTAATTATACAACTAATTTATGGAATACTTTTCAAAAACATGACATTGACTTGATTAAGAAGATGAGAATAGCCGAGTGCATTATATTAGAATTCAAGGAAATTAGAGCTAATGTTGATGAAGAATTTCATATTTTATATGTTATTGTTGAGTCAAAAGCAGAGGTATACGTGTTTAATATTTGTCCCCCTCGACTTGCAAAAAGCAAGCTCATTGTCAAAACATTAATATAGGATCAGTAGAAGAGTATTATAAAACAAATGTTACCTGTCTTAGATACATTTATAGCTCAAATAAATAAATGGTTTTTAATTCATCATGCAGCAATTACAAATCCGTAGATATTACTTACACAAAAGCCTTTTCAACCTTTTCAGATGATGATAGAAAATTAAATATTTGTTAGATTTTTATAATGAAGATGTTAAAATATCTTATGATGCCTTATTAGCTGAATAACTATGATTAAAAGATTAACTATGGTTGATACAGCCCCAAAAAGCTATGGATGCTTTGCATTATTTCAAACATATTTTAGATTATATTCCCAATGTATCAAAATGGTTATATATATTAGCAACTCTTCCCATTAGTAAACTAATGAGAGAACATTCTCTTTTTTAAAAAGAATAACAGAGCCCTGCAGAGGTACCATTTGCAGAGCACAGCCCAGATTTTTTTGTTAAAATTTTTTCGGCCCGCGTTTTTAAAAAAAATTTTTTTAGGCCCAGCCCAAATTTTTTAAAATAAATTATATTTATTTTTGATTTTTATAGCTAATAATGGCGATTTCAAATATTTGGTTTTAAAATATACAGCTCGGCCAGGATATTTTTTTTGAAAAAATTTTCAGATATTTAAAAAAATTAAAATACGGTCCGGCTCGGTGGCCGACCCGGCAAGTCTCTGAAAAACATACCTATAAAATACAACTTCTGAAAGTAGATTAAATGATTTGGATCTTTTGAATATTCATAAGCATTTAACGCCAAGCAGGAATAGATAATTGAAAAATTAGCTCAAAACATACAAAATACAATTATACCTAAGAAACTTTTTGTGTATTAATTTTTATTTCCAACATTTTAATTTTTTATAATTTATATATTTTAAAGGCTCAAATTCAAATTTCAATTTTGGGTCATTTAAGTGATTCATATCGTGGTTATATTCATTTTATATTTTATAATTCACATTTATTTTATAGTTTTTAAATACCGGTTTATATATAAAAAAATTTTGTAATTCACATTAATTTAAAATTGTGTATTAGAAAAGTTATTAGTCCTAATAAATTTATACATAGTATTTTTAATTAACAATAATATTTCTTAAAAATTTTTATTACCCCCCCCCCCCCCCAGACCAAATTCCTACCTACGCGCTTGATGAGTGGACATATAAGAGTGGAATGTATATTATAAATCTTATTAAAGAAATCCCAAGTCCCATTTTCTATAGATTGATTGAAATATGGACCAATATGCATACGGGATAATATATATATCTATTGAATTTATTAAAGAAATTGAAGAAATAGGAAATCACAAAAATTAACAAAATTAATAATCCTATTAATAAAAAAATCCTAGATATTTGTAAGAAATAAATATCCAATTATCGAATGTATTTGATATGCATCTCATAATTTGCTTTTAAAGGATCTAACAAATAAAATATTACCAATTTAAAATTTAGTAGTAGAAGCCCAAATTATTATAAATATGTAAAATTTTATATTATTAACCATTTAAGGAAAAACAACTACTTTAAGATATAAATAATTGTTTCCTTAAAGTTTCAACCTTTTGTACAATATAGTTTTGATAATAGACTCTGTTAAAATATAAAATATTTTTGCGGAAATGCTCCATTAATGAAGTTTTTTAAATGATCTTGCACATCTATATACCTTTATAAATTCATTTTTAAACAAATAATGACAGTGGACAAATCATATTTATCTGACGTTCCTCGAGCATTTATTCATATCAGAGAGATCCAAAACAAATATGGTTGGAAAAAATACTTTTATAAAAAAATTAAAATACAATTTCAGTTTTGAAAATTATAAAAAATGAAAAATGCTCCTGATTATAAAAATCCCTGCTTATTTATACTTTTTTTAGTAATTTATTGTCGAGCCTTATTCAGATTTGACATCATTTTTTTTATGAATGCGAAAAAATAACATTTCATTTTCATCATGTCACTTCACTACCTGTCAAAACTTTGTCAATTGCAAAAACCTTTAAAGCTGTAATTTTACATTAAAATATGTATAAATATTTTAAAAATATTCCATTGCATATGGTATTTGTTTTTCTTAGAAAATTTTATAAGATTTATTTTAGGATTACGAAGGACAATTGCTAGCTGAAAAAATATACCAATCTATCATATCTATATTTGGGGTAAATATATAAAAATTTAGGTAACAAATTTTATTTTAGGTTTTGGGCTTTGTTCTGGGTTATTATACCCAGATGTTTTCTTACACAGTGTATTTATTAGGAATAGGCATTTTGATATCATCTTTAGTAAATATATCTAATATGGTTGTTATATTTTATACTATGTTAATTTAGTTAGTTGTACCACCATGGCCTATTTATAGAAGAAAACCTTTAAGGTGGCAAAAACTTAAGGAAAATTAATATTTTTATATAACATTTGTATTTATTTAAAAGATTGTTATCAATATAATATTTGAAATTAATAAAAATGGGTTAATGTTATACGAGTATTAAATATGTATTTTAAACAATTTCTAAACTTATAATATTTTTTATTGCCATATAATACCATTTCTTCCAAATTAAACTTTACTTTGTGTTCCTACTAGATTTATTCCTATGTTGGCAATTTAAACAAATTTTTATCTCAAAATTGTGCTAGTCAGAGAATTATAAACTAAAGCTAAATATTATTTGAAATTATATGTATACAAAAATCTAATTTTTTTCCTTTTGCCATATGTTTTTACTCAATTTATGTTAAATAATTGTTTTGATTATTAAAATGAATGATTATTTATGCTTTAAATTAATAAATTAAATGCTGTTTTAATAAATAAATCTTAAGTTTTATATGAAAACCATTTTTAGATAATAAATTGTTAAAATTTGCAAAGACCTTATATAACATCAGATTTAAGAGGTTACTGACACAAATTATTTTAAATTAATTTCTTTATCTTCATTTTATATCTTGACCTGCTTCTTAAAATGAGTTTGAAGAATTTACTTTTTAACAGATCTCATGATGGGGTTCAGCAATTAATTAGTTTACATGCAAACAGTTCATCAACAAAAATTGAACATGTTTACATTCACCTTCCGAAAAAAAGAAAGTGTTCACAAAAACTATGAATAATTTTTGATTCAATTTCACTAAAAAATTATATTTTCTTGTATATGAACACATATTAGAATATTATTTTAATCCTAATCATTATTTGTATTTTATAAAATTCCTTATGTCACTCTCTTGTTACTTTGTATTTCCTTCAGATATTTTTTAAGATTTATTAATATTCCTTATCATACTCATCTAAGAAGAAATAAAATTTTTAAAAAATCTCCAATTTGTAATTTTTATTTGATTTTACCTTTATTACATACTAGTGCTGTTAACATTTCTAAAATATTGAACGTGTTCTGTTCAATGTCCATTGACAAAAGTCCAAACGTGAACACGTTCGTTCAAGAATTTATGAATAAATTTTTTAAAAAAATTTCATTTAATATAAATAAAGATCTTTTTTTATTAACACAATATATTAGCCAATGTTTAAAATTAATGATTTTATAAATGAATAAAAAAATATTTTTATTTATTAAAAAAAATTTCTTATTAATTTTTAATTATAAAAACTTTTTACTTTAAATTGTGCTCAACTATTAATATATAAAACACTCGATAAAAACAAATTTCAAATAATCACACAAAATAAATAAATTTGATGATTTTTACTTTATGTATCTAATCTATAATCATAATAATTTTATAAGCTCAACAATCAAGATAGTTATATTATATAAATTAATAAATTTTACAATTCAAGCATCTCTTTAAATTAGAACTCAAAGATTTTAGAACTGATATTAACTTTTTTGGACACATTTTATGTTAGAAATTACTTCATTTAATATTTGATGTTACTGTAAAGTATTTAATATATTTGAACCATGGTAATGTTAATTCAAAATTGATGAAATAACAACATTCATGCTTACGTTAATCTATAAATAATAATATTTGAATTAATACACCATGCTATTGAACTTTAATAGGGCCGGTTAAAAAAAAATTCAAATGATTAAAGGAAACAGCTGATTAAAAAATAATGCTTACGCTATTCTATAAACAATAATATTCGAATTAATAAACCATGCCATATGACTTTAATAGGGCCGGTTACAGCTGATTAAAAAATAACCTTTTTTATAAAATAAAAATTTGGATTATTAAATGATTATTTTTAAAAAGATTTTCTTAAAATTTAACGAAATTAAAACAAACGCGTTCATCAAAAAAAAAGGAACGCGTACACGTTCAAAGTTCGTCAGAAATCAAAGGAACGTCATTCATCATTTATTTTTAAAAAAAAACGAACTTCGTTTCGTTTGCAACATTTAGTAAACTTTATTACAAAATTTATGCTACATAATAGATTTCGATAGCGACTTTACATCTCTTCACCCCCTAAAACTAAATTTATTATTAAGTTTAGCATTATTCAAATTGTTACATATATCTCATTTTCTTGAATAAGCTATTCTTTAAAGTCTCCATGATAGTCGCACATTTCTTTTGCATTGATCGCTATTTCGGTATCTTTCTGTTCCAAGCACGTCTCTTCCCAGTTAATTGATTCAGGACTAGTTGCCTGATCTTCCATCAGTGACTCTTTCTCTGAATTGATTGACGTGTTTAGCTTTGCATGCACACCGCTCTCATAGGTAATGTTCTCCTTTTCTCGTCTATATTATAACCGTCTTCCACGCCAGTTGTATTTCAAATTTACCCACCACTGTCTCATCTGGGGAGATTTTATTTGTATTATTCTCCTCCCATTTTTCGCAAGGAGACGTAGACCATTGACTTAAAAATGTATATATCATTTGGCCCATCATTAGCCCCACTGGGAATCTTCCCATCGTTGAATGTTTTGTCCGATATAATGCTAATATTTGAGCCAGAGCCTGAAATGATGTGTTTAATGTTTACTTGCAAAAGTTACTGTAATGATAACTGGTAAATCGTGTTCCTTTTTCGGTTACAATCTATTGTGGAACACTAAAATTGCGAAATGATCTCTTAATGCATCAATCACTGTGTTCGACACTATAATGTTTATTATGCTTACCTCCACCCATCTCGGATCAGATCTATTATGGTTAACAGTATTTTCCAATATTTAAAGCACTATATATAAAAATTAAAAACTATTATAATAAAAAAAATACAATTTTATAATTGAGTTCCCATAAAAAAGAACCTATGTTTAAAAATTTCTATTTTTGGCTCATATATAAGAATTCTTTAACTTCGTTTGTAAAAAGCCGTATTTTATTGCCTAAGATTTTTTTAAAAGCTTATATTTTAATGGCGAAAAATGGCCGTTTGCGGAATTCACTATTGGGGTAAATAGATAGTTATTAAAATTTTTGTATTTTATAAATGGAATATAATAAGAATAAATATATCTAATCAATCAAAGCTCCATCGTGCACGAAATCCGTCAAGAAGGAATGGTATAAAGATGCTTCCAACGGTTGCGTGAGCCGAAAGAAAATAAGGCAGGTCGAATGCCAAGGCGATTGCGGGAGCCTTGCGTGTTGCAGACCCACGAAATTCAAGAACCGGAAAATACGGCTCATATGTCCAGGGGATTTGAGTCGAGTAAAAATAATGAAAGTAATTAAAAAATGTTCTTGCACGACAAATGTTAGTAATAACAATAAAAATGGAGACGGGGTAAAAAATAACGATAAATGTATGGTGAAGGAAGAAAATGATAACGGTTTTGGCGATATTGGGAATGACGATAATCCTCTAATCGAACGTCGAAATGAGCTCGAAAATGATGATAATGATAATAATAATGGTCAATATAAACGAGAGAACTTAAAATCTAAAAAGTACTTTAAATATTATTGGCATTAGTCATGGATAAAAGATATAAAATGGTATCAATGTGACGAGTGTAAATATAACTTAATATAATAAATATTAGCTGCCTCATTTCTGTGACTTTATGTTTAAGCATTTAAATCCATATCTAATTTTTTTTTTACAACTGTAGGCCTTTCCTAGAAAATAAAATAAAATACAGGGTCAGAGTCATTTCTGCGCGAACTAATATTAAGGAAAAAATCAATCATTAGTTAAAAAAAATACACCCCCCATTTCGCCTTAAATATGTTTTTATATATAATTAAATTTTATTGATATTTAATTTGTATCTAATACTTTATAAACCATTTACAATTTTTTTTTATACTCTCGCTTTTAATTGTTATTACACTTTTACCAAGATAATAAATGATATGTATGTATATATATTTATATATAAGCGTAACAATATTGTGTATAGTAATCGCATCTAATTTTTAATACAATTATTTTCTAATATCTCGTCCCTAGCTAACCTAAATTAAGTAACGAATTTTAGTCAACTAGTTTACCCGTATGCGCATTTCTTGTATGTGTTTTTTAATTAAAAATATTATAATGAATAATAACATGTATGATTCCGAAATTCGGGTCTCATGAAAAATTAGTTACTAATTTTTAGTTAGGCAAACTTGGACACTTATACGCTTAATAACAATTAATACTAAATTCAAAGAACTAATTTAGTTGAGCTAAGATGAAAATAACTATAATTTCTATCTTTTTACTTAGAAGAATGTGGGATAAAATAATTATGTTAAAAATATATATTTATATATATATACACTCGCGGCCATAAGAAAAATAATCGAATTTTATAAAAAAAAATTAATAAAATTTATGTATTTTTAATATTTATATTACAAAAATAAAATAAAATCTTTTCTTTTATAATAATGCCCGATTCAATAAAAATGTGATCTAATTAGGTAATTACATTATATTAGTGTTATTAAATGGCTCGTTTGGAGCCGATTTTTAAAAAAGGCTAACTCAACATTATAATCAGGAAAATATTACCTAAGCGTCAAAATTTCGCCAGTAGATGTCAATCCTATGTGCCATCTATAAGAAATATCTTTAGACTTGCATAAACACTACATTATTTAGTAAAATACAAATATTACAATTGATACTCGCTTGTGCTTAGATGTAATTTTTTTTTTTTAAATTTTGAATTGTTAGATGTGCATTATGATGTTTTAATCGCATTTTATACTTACTGAAAAATTTATTAATTATTCTATTTAATTAAATAATTTTCTATTTAAAGAAAACATTCACTATTCACAAAATTAAATTCAACGTATTAATAGGGTAGGATTAATATTAGAATCGCTCTTAAATTCGATTCTCGGGGGGAGGGGATGGGAGTGGCATAATTTATAGCCGCTAGCGTTAAACGGTACGTCTTGTCGATTTTTTAAAAACGGCTAACTCACATATACTCTCGAAGTCTCGAGGTTTAGGTATAAATTATTCTGGCTAAAATAGTGAGATAACCTTTTAAAAATCGGCACAAAACGAGCCCTCTAACAACACTAATAGCTGCTAATAAATAAAATAATTGAATCTTATAAAGTCCCAAGTATTTATCAAGTTAAATCATTTCAAAAAAATAATAAAACAGAATATCGTTTTCCATTTTAAATGTTTATGTTTATTCAATAAAATTTTATCATTACAAACTCATGATTTTAATCTAATATGCTTAAAAAAGAGGATTCAAAAAATATTCAATAAAGCAAATAGAATTTGTTGTGATATAATATGTTTAATTTATATTTTTTACTGTTCTGAGATTTTGTTATATATTAAATGCATACTTTCATATTAACAAGAAAAAGAAAATTTACTTATATAAAGATCAATAATATTGATAACATTCAGATTTTTGACTTTTTATATTTTTAAAGAATATTATTTTATTTTAAAATTTAGTACCGTAAAAATAAAATCACTATCAAATATTCTGATTCTACAACCATAATTGATTGATTGAAAATTAATGACATCTCTCAGAACATAAGATCAATCAATAATAAATGCCAATTTCCCCCAAAAATAAAATAAACAAAAAATTTCCCTCGACAATAAGCCTCTTTATTTTCAATTGGGGAAGGGAGGAAATAGAACCAAAAAATTTATTCCAGAATCTTCAAAATAATAATTAAATTTCGCCAAACCGCGAAATCCATATTCGCAAAAAGAAATAAAGGGAATTTTTTTATTCAAAGTTTCAACAAATGGATTTTACGGAAATGCAAACTTATCTTTTGTGCCGATTGACGCGATTATCATTTGCGATGACGAAAGCGGCTTATAATCTAGATGAATTAATCGATGTTTGATATTTCTAAATATCCTTCCTTAGAGTAGTCCTAGCCTGAGACTATTATAAGAACAATTGAGACAAATAACCTTTGATAATTTGATTGAGGGACCTTAATTTTTTTTTTGGCTAATAGTAACAATTGAAATAAATATTTTAGATCTTTGGGGAATTTTTTTTTTATACTATAATTTTTTTATTATAATCTATCAAATAAAATTATAAGAAAATTAACATATCAAATATAAAATAATATAAACCTTATTCTATAAAAACGGAGGTGGGACTAAAAGTTTCCTAAAAAACACGAATAATTATATTTTAAAATAGTAATTTGTAGATTTTGTTATAAAAAAATTATATTCTTTAGGTTCTGATGTAAGGGTTCTTATCTTGTCGCCTATATTTTTTATGAGTTTTTTTATAGCAATTATATATATTGTCGGGGTAAAAAATTTAGGGCTATTCGTTGACCCGAGCTTTAGCAAATTTTTTCAAACTTAAAATATTCAGAGCACCTGTTTTTACAGAACTTGATTTTGCCTGAAATGTACAAAGATTTTCACCATGAATTTTTTGGTTATTTTTTAAAATTTATATGAAATATATATATGTAAAAAAAAATGTCTATAAATTAAGCTTAGGTTTATTCAAAAATTTACGGCAAAATTATTTCGAAATATATGGTGGTGGTGCCAAGTATATTCTATCAAATTTTTCAGGATTAAAAAGAGAGATAAATTATTTTAAATTCTAAATATTTTTTCCAAAAAAAAATGTTAAAAACCCTCACGAAAATTCTTATATATGTCTTAAGAGTTTATAACAAATTAGTTTTTTAGAAAGATATTTAAAATTTAAAATTATAGGGAAGAGTTTAAGCAACAAGCACTTATCAAAATGAGAAAAGCGTTTAACCGAGAAGAAAAAAAATTTCGATTAATTTATTTTGCTTCAATTTTCTTCCTAAAAAATAAGAAAATAAATGCTAATAACTTCAATTTTTATCTCACCAATTCTTATTAATTTAAAATTTAATCCATAAATTTTGTACCACCATTACAACTCAACCTTAATAATATGATGGATGAATTATGGGTTTTATTCGGAATGTGGACAAAATTATTTTTTCTTCTCCTCGTCAAAGCAATTTATAGGCAAGCGTTTTCTTAAAGAGAGAAGAAAACAAATAGTATGCTGCACATTATCAGCTTAGAAAATCGCCAAGTTTGCTCCAAAAAAATCAATCGTTTCAATAAATCAATTTTTAGAAAAAATAGAAGATATAAGTTTCACGGTTTTTATTTACAGTTGAAATTATATTTCTGACTATAATTTTTTTTTCAAATGTTTCACATATTATAATTTAATATCTCAGCTGTTACTACCATACCATATTGCCCTAAAAAAATTCGTCTTATCGGGGATATGTATATTTTCAGTGAAAGAAGCCTTTTTTAGAAAAGCATTTAAAAAAACAACTCCCTTCTCTTTTCTTATTTAAATTTTCTTCCCCAACGCTTAAAACATTCGCTTGATTCACTTCATTTTTTTTTGTTTAATTAGTAAAAAGAATATAATTTTTTTTTATTTTAACGTGGTATGAAATAGTAATATTTCTAACGAAATTACGAGGGATGCTTCATTCGGTATGTCTATATACAAAATATGTATGATTTACACCAAATTCGATACTAATATGTTAACTTAACTTGAATTCAATGATAAATTCCTTAATAAATCTAAATAGACTAATATAAATTTGGTATATACAAGATCTAATAATTTTTCTCGTTTATATCAATTATTAATTAAATTTCAGTTCCATAAAAGCAAATATTATTAACCTTTTTTTCCCCCATATTACCATATTAAAAATGGAAGAGTATAAAAATTATTTGATGATCATATAAACCCGTTTTGACTTTACAAAATATAATTAATCTATAATAGAGAATATCCAAACCTTAGGGCTATTATATTGCCGATTGACAAAAAAAAATTATATGTTATATTATATATAAAGTTATTTAACAACTGGTATATCGTAAATGTTAGTTTCGTAACTAAATATGTCAAGATGAAAATTGAGTGTCATGTTCCTGATGTCCTGGAGAGGATTATGGCATCCTCTTGCGAAGAATAGACTCACCAAATAATACCCAGGATAGTTTAAATTTTTCAATTTTCCATCGTGTAAACGGTACGTTATTTTGATTTCTTCCCCTGTTACGTCTAGATCAAACTGATTATACACATATATATATAAAGAAATGAGAGTTAATTAATAAAAAGAGAAAAAAGTTCTATTATGAGATAAAGAGGTTGAGTCGAAAACGCATAGGGGCTAGTCAAACCGATTTTTACTAAATTGGCTATAGCTCCTGGTATTTTAGATAATTTAAAAAATAATATATGATTAGATACCTAAAACTATACTCCATACAGGTGCCTTATAAAAAAATTTAAGAATAAATTTTATTTTTTTGTAAAAGCGAAAATTTTACCCAACAACCCCCAATAGCGGGGTGAAGCAAACCATTTCAAGGAGCTCTTCCTAAACCATTGATTTTTTTTTAAGCCATAATAAATTGAAATGCATTTTTTATTTATAGTAATGTGAAGATGGGATAATTTTATTGTTCAAAAATTTATAATAACTTAATTTTGATTAATTTTAATAAACATTTTGGATGTAAAAAATAAGAATCTTAATGAGAGATTATGATTTCTTAGCATGAATCCTAAATACAATCATAAAACATCCATGAAATTGGCTTTTCAAGATTTTGAAATATTTTTTCATTATTAACTGCCATAATTGACGTGTATGGTTTAGCAAGGCCCGCTAGCTCTAGATTGACAAATTATGAATCAAATAATATCTAGGTATAATAGATACTCATAAAACTTTCCAAAATTATAGAAGAATGTTTAAAATTTGATATAAAATTTAATTTAAATATACATGATGATATATTTTAATAAAAATTAAAATTCTGTCATGTAAGAATCTTTTAAATTTATCATAATAATTAATTGTCTATAGATGTAATCTAATAAAAAACTTATTAGGACAAAATTTTAACCTTCTGGTTTATTTAATTTGAAAATGAGATTAAATGGTTTGCCAAGCCCCGGGGTTCACCTAACCCCAGTATCCCCTATATTTTTTTTTGTTTTTTCAAATTTTAATATTTTCATTTATCTAATTTTCTTCATTTTTTTCCTCTTCTTCAAAATACAATTTTCCTTCATTTAATTTTATCATTCCAAAGATTAACCGTGGCCATTTTCAAAATGCCTATTGATTTCTAGAGAATATATCTTATTTTCCTTAATTATATCAGAGACCTGGAGAAGTACCACTTCCACTATCCGGCCGGAATTTTCGGCCCGGTCCCGGGTTTTATATTTTCAGGTCCGGCCCGACTTTATTAAAATATATTTATTTTTGATTTTTATAGCTAATAATGACGATTTCAAATATCTAGTTTTAAAATATAGGTCCGGACCCGTATATATTTTTTAAAAATATTTTCAGGCCCGATGCGGTTATTTTATTTTTTTAAAAAAATTTATGACCGGTCCGGGTATATTTAAAAAAATTAAAATACAGCCCGACCCGAAAAAACGTTTCAAAGTTTATAGTTTGGAATGAATATTTTTAAATAATGCTTATTAGTAATTTGTAGTGTTGTAAATGTACGCGTCCATTTTGAAAGGCGTTCGTGAACGAAGTTCGATTTTTCGAAAAAAAATGATGAATGGCGTTTTTATTTTTGACGAACTTTGAACGTGAACGCGTTCCTTTTTTTATGACAAACGCGTTCGAATTTAACGTTCGTTCAATTTTAAAAACACTTTATTTTTATTTATTTATTAAAAATAATTACTCCTCGAACATTGGACGAATTGAAGGATCTTATTACAGCATCGTTTCTTAAGTGGATCATAATTGGGCAATTTTGGTTGTATTTGTATGTCTTATGAAAATGATCCTTTTTTTTATATATATAAAAATATTAGAAATGTAGTCTTAAATATAATAATAAATACCAAACAGATTTATCCAAAAAAAAATTAAAAGGATAGAGCTATTTTTACAAACATGGATAAGATGAAGCCATAATATAAAAACAAAAATCATTTAATTTATATATATATACCCCCATAGTACCATTCTCCCAATGAATGGTCAAAGTTGATTCTAACGTGATATTATTTTTGATGTATAAATTTTTCCAATCCTTAATTTTTTCAAAATCACCCTTGAATATTGGCAAATATTTGCCGCCTTTATCCATTTTTCTCAGCTTCAAATCAGCTTTAAAGATATTTTGATTTATAAATTCTTCTGTTGTTGCACTAATTTTTTTTTTTCAATATAAGTTTGTAACAATTTTTATTGATTAGAAATGATAAAAAAAAAAATTGTTACCTTTGTTTATTACGGTCAAAAGAGTTGGGAAGAAGTTCTGATCCAATACTTTTACCCGTCACTATTTTTAAAAAACAGAATTTTAAATCTTTATTCAAATACGATTCTCCCTCATATAGATAAGAGAAAATAAAATTAAATACACTAACCAACTAACTATCGCAAAAAGGTTTATATTGTAGGAACACGATTTATGATATTGTATTTTTTAATTTAAGTGTTCAAAAATATATATTTATTAATTTTCAATGTAAGTGATAAACAAAATGAAAATATTCCGGGGCTTTATCGCCTTACTCCCGCCGTAATACTCATTAAAGGCATATTGTGATTATGGGTTTTAGTATATTTTTCACCAAAAACGTGCAAAATAATGGGATAAATCATTATAATACAAATATTAATTTAATTTATTGATTGGTTTAATTATTTCCGTAGAAAGAATAAATAATATGTTGGTGTAATTGTTTCCCTTAGATGCTTATATAATTATTTAGGTTTTGAGGTTGCATTAACCAATATATATATTTGACATATTCATGATGATACTTGTATTAGTTGACCCTTGTGTAGTATAAATGACAGGAAAACTTTCCGTTGAGGTTTTGGCTTTGGTAGAAGAAATTTTTGTTAAATGTGAACCGAATCCTGAAATAAATTGATTTAGTTAGTGAAAAACAATAGATAATATTGTCATAGATTAATCTATTTTTTCCTAATCTTTAAAGAATATAAAATAAATTATAACCTTTTGCTAATAATTATATGAAGTTGAAAAGTGTAAAATATTAATTTTAAAGTTTAATTGTGTCCGTGATATTTATATCTTTAGTCAGGTTGATTAACCATTTTTGTGAACTGGATCCTGTAAATGGATTTAGTTAATAGATCATAGATTATATTTTTTCCTAATTTTTAGAGAAAAGTAAAAAAAATTTAACGTTTAGCTAATTATATAATATTAATAAGAAGTTGAAATGTGTAAAATATATATTTTAAATAAATTTAATAAAATAGTTTATATTTCTAAAATTGTTAAAATCATTTATATTAAAGATTTAATTCTTAATATTTGATATTTTTTTTTTCAATTTACCTCGTTTATCGGATGCTGGCGAAAAGGGTATGGCTTGTAAACCTTTTGTCGAAGATTCAAATTCGATCCAATTATTTTCACTTGGGTTGCTGGATTCTGGCATATTAAAATCTTTTGGTATAAATGATTCTCCAACTATAACTCCATCCCTTCCTTTATGTAAGATATTAAGTTATAAAAAAAAGAGATGAAAAGGGATAAATTTGCCATTATTGTCAAAACATATAATATATACTGAAAAACAAGTGGGAGACATTTAAGACATTTACAGTGCAGGCAGCTACCCTATTTCACATTCAATGTTATTCCTAAAAGAAATTGTCAAACAGTATCACAAATATCATATGTTATACAAGCAAAAACTTTTATCAATTAAAACTGTCTGATAATTAATAAAGAAATCGATCCCATTCTCTGATTTCTTATAGACTTTTTAGAAAAGGCTATTACACGCCACTTAAATTTGTTCCAATTCTATTTGTTGGGGTAAAATAATTAAGTAGTTTAATTTATATCCGCAAATATTTATTCGTTAGTCAGATTGTATTAACAATTATTTTATATATTTGAGATATTTATGATAATACTTGTATTAGTTGATCCTGGTGAAAAATAAATGGCAGGTAAACTTTCCGTTGAGGTTTTGACTTTGGAAGACGTAATATTTGTTAAATGTAAACCGAATCCTGAAATAAATGGATTTAGATTGTGTAAATCAATAGGATATATTATCATAGATTAATCTATTTTTCCTAATCTTTAGAGAAAATAAAATAAAATATTAACGTTTTTCCAATTATAATATTAATGAGAAGTTGAAAAGTGTAAAATATTTTTTAAGATAAATTTAAATAAATTTAGAGATAATTTATATTTAAAATTGTTAAAGTCATTTATTCAGATTGATATTTTAAAGATTGAATTCTTGATATTTGAAACTTTTTAGTCAATTTTACCTCTTTTATTGGGTGCTGGCGAAGAGTGTATGGCTGATAAATTTTCTGCTGAAGTTTCAAATTTGGTGGAATCATTTTCCCTTGGGTTACTAATTTCTAAAATATTATAAACATCTGACGGTTTAATTGGTTTCCCAACTACATCTCTACCTTTATTTATATAGGTTTAAAATAAACATAGTTTTAAAGAGATATGTTGCTTTTATTATAAATTTTTTAACTTATTTTATTCTACATTTTTTGAGTTCTTTTGATATAAATGTAAAAAAATTTTGAATGTGATAAAGAACATATAAAATCGTATAGACAGGTTTAATTAAAATCTTTTTGAACATTCTATAAAATATATGAAACTATTTGTTAAAGTTAAAATTTTACGAGGAGTCTGATATTATATGATTTTAAATGAATATTTGATTCAAACGTTAATCTTAAAAGAAATTTCAAATATGTTAAGTTTAACAATTTCGCATATTATATGTTACACAAGCATACGCTTTTATCAATCGCAACTGTCTTATAATTAATAAAGAAATTAAACTAATCTCTGATTTTTTAAAGACTTTTTAGAATAGGCTATTATGCCCACCACTAAAACTTGTTCCAATTCTATTTGTTTAGATAAAATATTAATTAGTTTAATTGTTTCTAAAGATATTTAAATCATTAGTCAAGTTGATTAACCATTTTTTTTATATATTTGAGATATTCATGATAATACTTGTATTAGTTGATCCAGGTAAAGAATAATTGGCAGTTAAACTTTCCATTGAGGTTTTGACTTTGGTAGAATTAATATTTGTTAAATTTAAGCCGGATCCTGAAATAAATGGAAATAATTAGTGTAAATCAATAGATTATATAATCATAAATTAATCTATTTTTCCTAGATAAATTTTAACGTTTTGCTAATTATAATATTATTAACAAGTTGAAAAGTGTAAAATATTTGTTTTAAAAACCTCTTTTATTGGATAATGGTGAAGGGTATATGGCTGGAATTTTCATCGAAGTTTCAAATTTGATCGAATTATTTTCACTTGGGTTGCTGGATTTTGAAATATTAAAATCTTCTGGTATAAATGGTTTTTCAACTACATCTTTTCCTTTATTTATGTAGATTAAATATAAACTTTCTTGTTTTTTTATTATAAATTTTTTAATTAATTTTATAATCCATTTTTTTTTAGTCCTTTGTTATAAATATAAAAAATTTTTAGATTTTTTTTTGCGCAGCTCGATTTGTAAAATTATTTTAAACAAATTTTTATGGATCCAACTAGTAATATAATTTGGATTGCTTCGATGCCCGCCTTCTTGGGGTTGACTTATAATCTTGAAAATATAAATATATCAGCCTTTGTAAAGACATTCTCTTATTCGTTTATAGAGAAATTTTTAAATACTGGTCTCTCAATATGAATATTTTTATTTACCTCTTTGGTCTAAAGGCTTTGAAAAGTAGGTAGCGGGTAAACTTCTTATCGAAGTTTCAAATTCGGCCAAAGTAATATTTGTATCAAGCGATTTGAACTTTAAGGTAGAAGAATCTTGCGAGAGTGGTGCTGTAATCATAATATTGTCAATTTTTATATTTAAAATAAATTAATTAATTATATTACAATATATATTTTTTTTAACTTTCATTGTTTATATTTTTCTATCTAATTCAACTGAATTATCACCCAATTTCATTAAATTCTCAGGTTATGTCCAAGTCCTCTCGAAGGGGGAAGAAAAAAATATTCAGATAAATAAGAGAAGACAAGGGTTAAATTTCTATTATCGACGAAACATTATATATTATAATTTTCTAAAGTTATTTATATATATATATATATAATGAAAAACACGTGAGAAACGAAGACATTTACTGTGCAGGTTTTAGCCTAAGAACAAATTGTCAAATATATTAACTTTAACAGTTTCACCAATAGCATATGTTACACGCGAATAAATTTTTAATAATTCTTTCTTTTTTTTCTATGGTGAGATAGATTATAAAAGTTTCATTCTTTTTTAAATTTAAAATTCAGACTCTAAGCTAGAGGTTGTTGAAGCCAAATTTAAAGAATTTTTTAAAATTTCTTCTCCAACCCTTATTCTTTAAAATAAAAAATTAAACATCACATTAGCTTAATTTTTTGATTTTCTTTTTTGGTTAAAAGAAGTTAAAAGAAAATTACTTCTTTTAAAAGTAAAAATAGTAATAATAATTTTTATTTTTTTTAAAATAAGTTTGAATAGTATAATTTTCTACTAATTTTATTTTTAAAAAAATTAAGAATAAAGCAATGCTTCCTTTGCATCTATGGATGCTTCATATATGCAAAAAATGTATGATTTCCACTAAATTCGAAACCTTAATAATATGTCAACTAAAACAACAAATTGATAAATTCCTTAATAAATCGAAATCGGCTTAATTTTGGTAAATACAATATTTAATAATTATTTTTTTCGTTTTATATCAATTATTAATTTAATTTCAGTTCCATTAAAACCAAGTATCAACATTTTTTTTCCCCCATATTAAAAAGAAATGGAAGATTGTATAAATATTATAAGTAAAATTATTTGATAATCATAAGTAAATTTTAAACCCGATGCACCTGATTATTTTTGATTTTACAAAAAATCTTAAATTAAAAATCTATCTATAAAAAAAAGTAAATCCAAACCTTAAGTCTAATTTAGTGTTGTTAAACTACCCATCTTTAGTCAACTATAAAACAGCGTAGCCATATTTTTATCCAGAAATATTCTAACCAATCTTCAAGTCGAGGCTCATCTTAGAAGCTTAATTCCACTTTTTAGTCTAAAAGCTTAATTAAGACACAATAGAGATGGTCAAAATTAGGAAATTACCAACACTAGTCCAATTATTAGGTGTTGTTAAAAGGCTAACTCAATATTACATCCAGAAAAATATTAAGTAAACCTGAAGATTTTGTCCATAGAAGGAACAAAGGTCTAGACATATATTATCGAAATCTCGAGGCTTAGGTAATATTTTTCTGGCTAAAAAAAATTGAGTTAGCCGTTTTAAAAACTCGGGTCTAAACGAGCCGTTTAACAATACTATATCTTTGTTGTAATGCCGATGGGAAAAATAAATGATATATTTTATATAAAGTAATTAAGGGAAAATTTCATAACTAAATGTCATGTTCTTGCTGTCATGAATACGAAGATTGAGTGTCATGTTCTCGATGTCCTGGATAGGATTATGGCAACCTCTGGTAAAGAATATACCCACCAAATAATATCCAGGGTAGTGAAAATTTTTGAATTTTCCATTGTGTAAATAGTACGATATATTTATTTCTTTCCCC